CGGGGCGGCCTGCGATGCGGGGGGACGCGGAGGCCGCGGGCGCATCCGGCCCCGGGGCCAGGCGGAGGGCGCGGCCCTGGAGCCTGGGGAGACCAGCCTGCTGCCCGCTCCCAAACAGCCTTTCTTATACATCCCCACAGCTTGTAAACGTGCATTCCTCAAGCTCTTGAGCTCTCTAAACACTAAAAGAAGTCAAATAGTGATACACTGCGGCACTGTGTCCAAGTACTGCTCTGATAAGTACAGTACTTTATCAAAGTCCCTTGACCAAGGCCTTGCCTCCCGGTGCAGGCTGGGCCGGCCCTGCTGGAGGCACAAGGGAAGGAGTTGAGCGTAGTGACAGGGGATGCCGGGCTTGGCCGCCCTCCCCTTCCTATCCCGAAAGAGTAAGGTGCTTGTTACATCTGTTAAACATAAATTCTCCAACATGCCTCACATCAGCTCCCAAGCAAAGAAAGGAACTGAGCTACTGTCTTGAGCTACAATAAATGGAAACCTCTTTTGTAAACCATGCATTGATCACTAGGCTAATAACTGTGTGTTAGGTAATTGTGGTAAAACATGGACTTTTTATTTCTCCTGTACAACTGCTCTAAGACAAAGAATGAAAGATGACACTGTGCCCTCTACTGAAAAGGCTTTCTTATACATTCCTACTGCTTGGAAATGTTCATTCACAGGATCAGAATGGCTGAGGTTGGCAGGGACCTCTAGGGATCACCCAGTCCAGCCCCTGCTCCTGCAGGGACACCCAGAGCACAGGGCACAGGGTGGCTTCTGGGCGGGTTGGAGATCTCCGGAGAAGGAGCCTCCACAGCCTCTCTGGGCAGCCTGTGCCAGGGCTCTGGCACCCTCACAGGAAAGAAGTTCTTCCTCACATGCTCTTGATTTTTTAAAATATTGAAAGGAGTCAAATAGCAATAGATGATGGCACTGCTCTGATAAATAGGATATTTAAATCAAACTCCCTTATCAAGCCTTGATCAAAAGGGGAGCAGCAGTGGGGGGGTCAGCGGGTTTTGCTGAACTCTCTGCTGCAACCTGAAGTCAGGGGCTCAGAGCTCGAGGTGGGAGTGGGCACGGCCATTCTGCACCACACAGCTCTTTTCTGAGTATTCTAGAGCGTTGCATAATGTTGGCAACTTTGAAATAAACACTTGCTTACTCCAATGCAATGTAACGTTACTTATGATTTATCGAGCATGCAGTCCTGAAATCTGGCTATGGCTGACAACTATGTAATATAAATGAAGCAGGGAGCCACAAGCCATCGCTAGGTTACATAATCCAGGACAAAGTTATACTAGCAGAATTTCCTCCTTTCGTTTTGAGCAACCAGGCTACGCACAGTTCTTGGAGACACCTACATCTTAGAGAAAGTGCTAAAATTGTCAGAGGGCTCTTTTCCCATCTGCTCTCGCCACACCAGGTGGAGTGGCTCCTGCTGGATCTGTTGTACGGAGTGTTTTTACAATTTTCACAGGCAGTGATTTCAGGGATAGTAGTGCAGAGAGGCTTGGCACACTTGAAACTGGGGATATTGAATTTCCTGCAGGTAATCATACATAGAGATCTCTATTATGATTAGTTCATAGAATTAGGAAGCCTGAGGCATTATTTTAATAAAATGGATTGAAGAACTTCAGCTTGGTCTACAGATGTTTTTTTTTTTTAAGTCACCTGAAGGGTTATCCCATTCATCAGGGGGTTAGGAACCTGGAAAAAAAAGTCAAGAATTTTCTGGGACTAGAAGAAAGAATGAGTAACGACAGCAAAGGAATCCTTCAGGTAGAAGAAGTAGCATTAAGTGAAGAAAGGGGCAATTCTGGCTGACTTTTCTCAGGCAAATTGTGGAAGAGAAAGCAAAGGTGAAAGAAAAAGTAACAAAAAAATGCCACGTACAAAGTACCCCTTAACACATCCAAATCCTCTTCTTCCCCAGTTCCTCATAAGAAGTTTAGCTCAAACATTTTCTGAGCCACACTGGTTAATTAAAGAACTTTTCCTCTCTGTAAATAAATAAATAAGTAAATAAAAAGTTTAGTGATAATCCATTGTAACTTGCCATTGGTGGCGCAGAGCAAAAGCAGCTGTGCTGGTGGGATTGGTTGCTGGCAAACGGTTTGTTGGCTTGGGTCAAATGCGAAACGACCAGGAGGAAATGCAAGGCTGACGTGCGATGGATGTGGCGTGTGAGGAACCTCGGAGCCGTGCATCCCGATTTCCCCGAGAGCAGCATCCCATCCCGTGGGAGGAAATGATTGCGGAGCAGTGTGGGGTGCTGCTTGCAGGAGGCTCTGAGCACTTGTCCTTATGCAGGCTGAGAGTTGAATTTAGTAATCAATAAGGGTAAGCATTTTTAGAACATGAAAATAAGAAATAGGAGGATGAGGGTCTATTGCCAATGGTATTTGTTCAAACTGAGCAGAGTAAGAACTTTAAGTATTTGAATGCATAGATGGTTGAAAATAGATATGAAAATGTTTTCCCAGTATTGTGGCCAAATTTATAAATATCTGTACTAGAGAATTTTCTTGCTAGTTTGAGATATTGGAGGGAAAAAAATGGGTACAAATGTCAATATTTTTGTGTCTCTTCACTATTTTGTCCTTTGAGATCAGAATCTAGGTACACCATCATCTCAGAAAGAGCAGGTCCGTAGGGAAGTAAGCTGCTCAACTGGAAATTGCAGTGTATCTCAGGCAAAAGTTTTCAGCCAAAGTAAATCTGAGATAATATGCATGAGCAAGCAAGCAGCTATGAGAAGTCTGCTTTGCAGAGAATGACAGCGCACCAACTAGTGCATATTAGATCATGAAGATAATTTAGGCTGCTACTGATACGGTCGGTTAGGCTTTTATATATACTAGCTTGGCACTAGCATTCCGCACTGCAAAACTGAAGCTAGAGTAGGATTTTATGGAAATACTTGACGCATTCTGGAAGAGAAACTAGCTGGAAATCAACAGCATCAGGCATCAGCAACACAGGCGTCATTTGTGGTCACAAGAGACTCGCACTCTACTGTTTTAACTATATGGGAAGTAAAGAGAAGAGAAATAAGACACTGTTTCTTTTCATTTTTAACGTTGTGTTCCAAGGTAAAGGTATGTCCTCTGCCTGTGTAGCCCAAACACAGAACTAGATGAGCACAGCAAAAAGGCCGTGTGAATCATGTTTTGGGTGTTAAAATGCTGGTAACTTTAAAAAGGAGTAATGCAGTCATGTCTGCAGCCCTCTCCCAATTTCCTCCGAACACTTCACCAGCACCACAGCTAAGATCATGATCAAAACGCTGTCACATAAAAGCAACTTGAAAATATGGGATTAAAGCATTGTCAATATATGTTTGCCTAAAATAGATATCCAGATAACGTTTGCCCCAAAAAGACATTCTCTGTATGAACGAGATGCTGACTTTGGGGGAACAGGTCCTAAAACCTCATGAAAGGCCCTGATGATGAAAACTATTGAATCCAGACAAGGAGCAAGAAAGATTACTCAGCTGCGCTGACATGCAAATTATCTATGTATAAATCCAACATCTACCGAAAAGAGTAGTAGCTTCCAATTAGAGTAGGTAGTAACTTGCTACGTACTTGGTTCTGTGGAAATAAATAGGATTTCTTGCATTATAGGCTAAAGCACCTAGTGACTATGACACAGTCCTGCTGATGAGTACTTCAGAACAGCCTAGTCTATCTTCATGCCCTGCCTGTCTATAATCTCCTCCAAACAGCCTTTTTTCCTCTAGAGTCAAAGCTCCAGTACATCATTAGAAGTAAAAACAGTTTCTACACAGCACATTAAGGTTAATATTCACGAACAAGGTCCTGTTGCTGTGGGCTGTATGCTGTGAAGGGCTAGCAGTTAAAACAAAAAGAAAAAAAAACAGTGAATATCTTATTTTCAT